TGCATATGGAAAAGAAAGAAAAAAAGGAAGAAAAGAAAAATGAAGAAAAAACGGAAACAAGAAGGGACAGTGTACACGTACGAGTCAGTCAGAAAAAAGCATGGTCTCCAGCTATCAATCTTTGTCACCAATTTCCTCCTGGCTTACTTCTCGGAGGCAGTTGAGTTTTCCGGGGTCCTCATTGATGCCGGCTACTAATGTTCGAAATTTGAAAATAAAATATGCCTCACGCTGTTCGCGCTCGCGCCTGTTTGAGAAACCGGACTGCAAAAGAGTTACGCTGATATTTTCAAAACTGGGGTTTGGCAGACGCAGATGTCTAGATAAAGGTAGCTTCGGCAGTGAAGTGGCGTGGTACCGGTGATTATTGAACCACAGCCGAAATGGCGTGTCTGTTTGGCCGATATATTCTTGTCCGCAGATGTTGCAATGTAGCATGTATATTACGTTACTGGAGTCACAATTAAGGCTTTCAGTTATGCAGAATTTGAAATCCGAGAAGTTCGCTTTGGATTTACGTGTTGTGACCATCTGTGGGCATTCCTTGCATCGAGCTTTTCCGCAGGGATGGCACCCTGATTGAATTTTGGGACGTTTGTTTTTGCTCTGACAATAATGTCCTTCAGATTTTTATCCCTGCGGTACACCACGTGAGGTGGCTTCGCGAAAGTAGAAGTTAGTCGTCTGCTTGGCCTGATTATGTTGAAATGGCGGGAAAGTATGTTGTTGATTCGTGGCGCTGATGAGGAGTAAGTTAGTACAAGGTTCGTTTGGGAAGTCGTTTTAGATACTCGGTTTAGTTCCTTAGCTATATCATTCCTGTTCACGTTGCGAGCACGTAGTATGGCATCGTCAATAATGTCTTCCGGATAATTCCGGTATGAAAAAAATTGGCCATCTCGAAACAACATATCAAAGTCAGAACGAAGGGCACTCGATGAACTACGAAAAAACACTGAAATTACTATCAAACAAGCTGATAAAGGGGGCTGCATAGTAATTCTAAACACGTCGGACTACTTAAAGGAAGGGGAACGACAACTATCAGACACAAAATTCTACAAAGAACTTCCAACGGACCCGACTGCCGAATCTGAAAGGCAGATAAAAGTAACCCTAAATAATCTCCGCCGGGACGAGAAAATTACCGGCAAAATGTTAAAAGCAATGTTACCGGCCCATTCTATTCCCGGTCGATTCTATTTGCTCCACAAAATACACAAGGCAGGCAATCCGGGACGTCCGATAGTATCCAGTAACAGCACATCAACAGAAAATATATCCGAATTCACCAATACCTTAATAAAAAACACCCCCCCCCTCCAAATTTTCCCTATTACCTAAAGGACACAAACCACTTCATCTGCGAAACTTCAAGTCTCGACATACCAGGCGGTAGTTTTCTGGTGACCATGGACGTCTGCTCACTGAACACCAACATACCCCACCATGACGTAATAGCGGCTATGGTTTCTGAATATGTAAAATCTGACTCATCAACTAGTGTAAGTGGCGAGGCACTGTTTACACTTCTTGAACTTGTACTAAATTATAACCATTTTGAGTTAAATGGCAAGCATTTCCTTCAGATCAGTGGCACTGCAATGGGCACGAAAATGGCCCCAAACTTTGCGAGCACCTTTATGGCTTCACTTGAAACCCCTTTCATTGAGGGACACACCTTGAAATATTTTCACTACAGAAGATACTTAGACGATATTTTTATCATATGGAACCACGATGAGGGAAGTCTTTTCCGCTTCATAGAGGATTTTAACAAGTGCCGCCCGTCAATTAAATTCACGCACAAAATTTCCCAAACTAGCATTCAAGTTCTTGGACGTCACTGTCACGGTCGAAAATGACCGTTTGTCAACAAACCTTTACAAAAAGCCTACAGACCGTCAAATGTACCTACATTTCAACAGCAGCCACCCAAAGCATTGCAAAACGGGTATTCCATATTCTCAGGCCTACCGGTACCGAAGAATATGCACCGATATGCGGGAATTTGACAGACACGCAGAACACCCAAAGCATTCCTTATTGAAACAAAATTATCCGGAAGACATTATTTACGATGCCATAGTATGTGCTCGCAACGTGAACAGGAATGATATAATTAAGGTACCAAACAGAGTATCCAAAACGACTTCCCAAATGAACCTTGTATTAACTTACTCCTCATCAGCGCCACGAAACAACAACATACTTTCCCGCCATTTCAACATAATCAGGCAAAGCAAACGACTAACTTCTATTTTCGCGAAGCCACCTCACGTGGTGTACCGCAGGGATAAAAACCTGAAGGACATTCTTGTCAGAGCAAAAACAAACGTCCCAAAGTTCAATCAGGGTGCCATCCCTGCGGAAAAGCTCGATGATGCCCACAGATGGTCACAACACGTGAATCCAAAGCGAACTTCTGGGATTTCAAATTCTGCATAACTTAATTGTGACTCCAGTAACGTAATATACATGCTACATTGCAACATCTGCGGACAAGAATATATTTCGCCAAACAGACACCCCATTTCGGCTGTGGTTTAATAATCACCGGTACCACGCCACTGCACTGCCGAAGCTACCTTTATCTAGACATCTGCGCCTGCCAAACCACAGTTTTGAAAGTATCAGCGTAACTCTTTTGCAGTCCAGTTTCTCAAACAGGCGCGAGCGCGAACAGCGTGAGGCATATTTTATTTTCAAATTTCGAACATTAGTAGCCGGCATCAACGAGGACCCCGGAAGACTCTCCTGCCTCCGAGAAGTAAGCCAGGAGGAAATTGGTGACAAAGAATGATAGCTGGAGACCATGCTTATTTTTTCTGACTGACTCGTACGTGTACACTGTCCTTTCTTGTTTTTTTTGTTTTTCTTCTTTTTTTCCTTTTTTTCACGTGCACATACAAAGTGTTTATGTTCGCCTACCACTTGGTGACCATTGAAGGAAAACGAACGAAGATGAAAGGTAAAGAGCCGACCGACCCATTAAGGGGAAACCCTTTCCTTACGCACGCCGTCACGCACCCCTCCCGCCACCGTGGCGACAATCTTGGGTGGCCCGACACACGTCGAGAACTGACCAGCACGGGACAATAACCGGATGTGGACGTACACGGACATTTGGTTTCGTTCTCAGTGTTGACAGTGGTTCTTCCTATTTTCTACTTTCTTTCTTTTTTTCTTTTTTTCTTTGTGTCTTTTTTCTTCTCTTTTTTGCTTTCTTTCTTTCTTTTTTTAGTTCTCTCTCACTCTCGCAAACATCTTTGAAGGCGAGAGGGACGCGGCAGCAATGAACTTTGGAAGTTCATGTTAGTATAACTCATCCCCTAATGAAGGGAGGACCCCTCCTGAAACTGTTGGGAAATAAATATATTTATCTTTGTTGACAACGCTCCAGTTTTGCCATATCTCATACCTTCACGAAGACTAACTGGCCCATTGAATTATCACTCCAAGTATATATATATATATATATATATATATATATATATATATATATATATATATATATATATATATATATATATATATTTATATATATATGAGATCTAACAGACAGTAATACCAAGGAATATACAGGGGAAGTTATTAGAACCAATGGAATGTAAAGAAGAATAAAGCAGGAAACGAACCTACGACCTTCGAATAACGCATTCGATGCTCTAACCACTGAGCTACCACAGCAGCCTTCCCTCCATCCACTTTTTTGGGTTTATATGTGAATTTAGAAGTAGGAGTGTCAGTCAGCGCCATCTATAAGCCAAGCGACGAGTGTGAAACACTCTGTCATGCGCATGTTTGGCGTCACGTAGCACGTGAACTTATTACGAGCGGGCAGCTGATTATTAGTCCCTCGTATACAACCTAATGACATCAAGTCTGGCAGTACGAGACCCTCGTTTAAAGAAATAAGGGATAGAAGTGTATATCTAAGGGCTCGTTTTTCCGTGTTTTGACGCAATAATAATGAGATCTAACAGACAGTAATGCCAAGGAATGTACAGGGGAAGTTATTAGAACCAATGGAATGTAAATAAGAATAAAGAAATGTGGATAAAAAAATAACCAGCCGTGAGCATTACTGTCTGTTAGATCTCAATAATATTGTGTCAAAACACGGAAAAACGAGCCCTTAGGTATACACTTCTTTCCCTTATATATTATATATATATATATATATATATATATATATATATATATATATATCTATATATATATATATATATATATATATACATATATATATATATATATATATATCCAAATATATAGTTTCGAACTTTATATCTAAACTTTATACCGCTCGCACGTCAGTAAGCATGACGATTCTAGTGCTCCCTAATGTTCCGCGTACCAACGACACGTTTCTTTCGCACCGGTTCATGACCGTGATAATCAGTCGCAGCGGTTTTCGTTTTTGTGGCCGAAAGCAAAACGTGTTCATCATAAAGCCCCCACCATCGTTGCGGCCCTGCCGAGACAGCACAATGAGGCAAATGCGATGGTCGTTCGTACGCGGAACGGTAGGGAGCACTGGAAGCATTGTGCGCACTGGCGCACGAGTGAGTTTGTCACGTAGTATTTTTTTTGTATTTCGCGAGCATTAGTAATTAGCAGAAGAACGCTAATACTTAACAGATATAAAATTCAAAACTATATATTTGGACGATTTGCAAACCAATCTACAACGTTTTAATTGAAATACTTTACCCGTATTAGTTCCTTCAAAAGTTAGCTAATTAAACAGAACTAATTAAACAGTATTTGAGAACACAAAAAATAGTCTGATTAACTCCAGGCAACGGTGAGCAACAAGCGTTTGGTCGCGTCATAATTACATGGTCCGGCATATTTTCAAACTCCACCAACATTACGTGGGACAACCTGTATACACGTCAGCATGTACTGATATATATTTACCTTTTATTACTTATGACAGCTAAATGCGAACTGCTGACCCCGTCTGACAGTTGTATACAACCATACCTTCGCAGGGACGGAAGGATCCACTGACTGCAACTACGGACACTGGTTTTCAAAGCATCGACTTCAGAGTGGGGATATGCCTGCCCTCACTGTGCTCACGTTCTGAAATAGATTTTCTCTTTAGTTCAAGTAAGAATTCGTTTCTCTACGCTGTTATTAACCATGTCCATGTCCTCCAGCACGATTTCTCTTTGACAATGCGTGGGATATGTAAAGCGTCACGTGTACAAAGGCCGCTTTTCTTGTTGTGCGTGTAGCATCACATTATATTTCTGTAAAGTCTCCCCAGCACTGCACTGGAGTGTTCGATTTCCTTTTCTTGCTTTTGCGAAAAAATTGTCACCCTGGAAGTGCGTTTATGCCCGACGTTTTGCAAGATAAGTACTTAGGTGGCAGAAAGGTTGCGAATACATCCTTGTCGTTTATGCATGTAGCTTACTCGTTATATTCCACACTGCATAATTCTGTAAACATCAGGAATATATTTTTGAAGGTGTCAGTCTTCTCTGTCTACAGAAATGATCCAGCCTGTACTAATGTGGAGTCTCTTAAAACTGTAAAAATTCGTATTTCGTAAAGGTGCTAGAGTGTATAGAGAACTACCATCTTACAGTAAAGCATTAGCGATTTTGAAGCAACTGTGAAAAGTTCGAGAATGCTTTCGCGATGCAATGGTCTCATTCTACCTCATGTAAGGGCGTCTTGTAAAACCGGAAATCATATATGCAACAAACAGTATTTCGACAATAGCACACTCCGCTATAAATTCACAGGCCATTTTGTGCGTTCTAAAGGGTCCCGTCAACGTCGTTTACTGCTGCAGTGATTATATGTGACCCAGAACGGAATAATTGATAGCCGCCTGCCGAGAAACAATTACGCTTTCAACTCTTCTGACGTGTGTATTGACTACAGCTACGTGGCCCTTACTTTTGTTTCAATTGAACAACAACGCACATAGGTTCTTTTACGTTCCATCTGAATTTCATAACTAGTAACTGTGAATTTAAAATTACGTTCACTGTGTCAACCGCAAAGATCCCGGACCCTAAAGGGGCCCTGCAACACCTTTCTCAACATCATCGAGAACTGCTGCCGATCGATAGTAAAGGCTTAAGAGCACGTGACTCAAACATTGTAGCGCAGTATGGGGCTGAAATTTGCAATTATTTTTGAAGCAAGCTAGAAATTTTTTGTTATTTCTACAGTGGATGCCATATATCTGAATAACCTTGCCCTACTCAAAATTCAAAGCAATTGACTGATTTGAACATCGTGAGCTGCGTAGTCAAAGAGGCCGACGCAAAAGGCCACTGCGTGCCCGCACGCGCACTCGCGATCGCAATGAAAGTAAGCTACGCGCTTGAAGACAAAAAAAGTACTCAAGGTAATGAAACGCCAAACGTAACTTCGTTACCCTGTGCCATACCTCTCGGCTTAGCTTCCAGCACACTTTTCGGAACAAGAGAATAGAGAAAGCGATTATAGCATGCAGTGAAGCTCTGTAATTCCAATGGTACTTGAGGGATTCAAATTTTTTTGCTGTGGTCAATTCTTGAGGCAATAAACTTCCCTATGAAACCATTCGAGCGTAACATAAAAAAAAACGTGTTGCCGGGCTCTGTAAATTTGAGATAACTGATGCAGTGTTTGGCTGAAATGACTTTAAAAAGCTCCACCTATAATAAGACCTTAATTTGGCCGAATTAGTTTATTGTGGTTGTATTGAAGTAACAGTGGGACAATTGTAGGAAGAGACAAAATTGATAGGAAAGAGCGCTGACTGTTATCTGAATTTATTGAAGGTTTTACGGCTGGATTTATACAGAGTGCAAGAACAGTGCTCATGTACGACGACACATGTGTGACCATGAAAAAAAAATATTAACTGAGAAAAAAATACTCTATCTCGAAAATGAGAAGTGATGGTGAACTAATGCAATGATCCTTGGCCTTTCGGATGAAAAATGCTTCTATAATCTTTCTTTCAGTCTTCGATCTTGCTTTTTCTCAAAAACCGTGTTTTAAAGCACAACCAATCATTCAATGAGCCAGCATTGGGCAATGCTTCATTGACCAAGCAGGATATAGCATGCTTTAAATTTTAAGAATGGCTATAGTAGTTTCATAGCTGCGCACTGAAACGTGAGTGTAGTCATATGTTTAATAAAACACAGTTTTTGAAAAGAGCAAGAAGGAAGAATGAAAGAGAGAATATAGAAGCATTTTGTTTTTTGTCAGGAAGGCCAAGGATCAATGCATCAGTACTCTCGTTTCCGAGAGAGAGTATTTTTTTCTTAGTTAAGAATATTTTTTCATGGTAGCACATGTGTCATCACACATGAACACTGTTTTTGTGCTCTGGATAAAAGCGCTGGTAGCACTTTTAATAGGTTCATTTGACAATCAGTGCACTTTCCATGTCCATTTTGCCTCTTCCTACTGTCATTGCGCTGTTACTGCAATACAACCGCCGCCTCTACGAGCATGTAGGTAAACTTGAGTGAAACGACTGCTGTGATCAGGCTAAACATACTAAAGTCGGTTTGTTAAGAGGAAGCTTTTGAAATAGGCGCACACAGTTACATTTGTAAAGCATTGAACAGGGCCCGAACGTGCCAAGAATATCAACACCATTGGGAAACGCGATATCCTACGCAGGGCCGCAGGGGAGTTGTGGTCGTCTCAGATAATACTTCTGACTCACCAATAACACTTGCCCCGTAACTTAGTTTTTTCCTCTTTGTATCTCCATTCTCGACGTACTTGACAAATGAAAAAGAAATGCATAGCTGGGATTGGCGGTACATGATGCACCAGCTTCAAACCTACCACGTGGTTGCCCTCGGCGAAAGATAGACTGTATACACAACATATTTGGGTCAGCAATCAGAGTGATTTGAAGACCTAAGAATATGATCAAGAATAAAAAAATGGTAATTCTGATAACCGCGATTCGCCGCTGGCGCCGACCACACTACAAACATACGTGCGCGCATGCCCCCCCCCCCCCCCCAAACACACAAGGCCAATATGAGGCACGCCGCAGTGGAGGATTCCAGAAATTTCAACCATTTGGTGTTTCTTAGAGTGTACTGACATCGCACAATAAACGGGCCTGTCCTGTGGCCAGAAATACTTTGTTGAAGATATATAATGATGCAAGGACAACAGAGTGCCTTCCATCCTCCCGGAAAGTTGCAAGAGTGGTCCCAATTCTCAAACCCGGCAAACCACATTTATCCATAGATTATTTCCGTCCCGTCAGCCTGACTAGCTGTCTTTGTAAAGTTATGGAAAAGATCATCGAAGCTGGACTTCAGTGGTGGGTGGAATGTACGATTGTGCTTTCAGAACATATGGCAGGCTTTCGTAAACGCCGCTACACCATGGATGTCATTCTAGACATTGTAACTTATGTAGATCATAAAAGGAGCTGTAGAGGAATCGTCATTGCAGTATTTCTAGATATAAAGCGAGAATTTGATACAATCACCCACGATCACGTACTACACGGTTTAATTCAGTTGGGAATAGTTGGCAGAACACTAAGATGGATTGCAGAATTCTTAAGAGACAGGAAAATCTTCATTGATACAGCTGACGGTAAAAGTAAACAGCATGAAGTTAGTGAAGGAGTTCCACAGGGTAGCGTACTAAGATCATTTTTATTTAACTGCGTTATTGCTGAATTATCCCATATCTTACTTACAAGTTTGAAATATTCCCTATATGCAGACGATCTGTGCATTTGGGCATCAGACACGAGCATTCAAGCAGCTGAGCGAAAACGTCAAGATGGGCTGACAATCATCAATGACATTTTAAAGAGCAGAGGCGTGATTCTTTCTCACGAGAAAACACCTCTACTTCCATTCACAAGGAAATGCCTTAGGAATTTACACTTAAGATAGACTCTCAGCGCTTACAACTTGTGCGACAACACCAATTTCAAGGATTATTTTAGACATACGTCTTGGGCTCCACAGATAAAATCATTAGAGGACAAAGTCAACTCCCTAATCAGTATAATACATCAACTGAGTGGAGTGAGATGGGGCAGTTCATGTTCTTCTTTATTGTGTATACATTAAGAAATCATTCGACAAGTAATAGCTTACTCTGCCCCGGTTTTACATGAGATATCACGTAACTTAGAGGAGAGGATTCAAAGATTGTTGACCAGAAGCCTTCGTATATGTATTGGTGTACCGCGAGCGTCTGCCAGTGCTTTGGTAATTGCGGAGTCTCGTCAACCGACTTTCCATGCTATGAGATTTATGGACATTTGCCGGCATTATCTTCGGTAGGCAACTCAACACGCTAATCATCCTTATACCAAGCTAATCAGGAGAGATCAGCTGCAATAAAATATAACACTATAGTAGAATACAAAACTTTACTGCCTACGTACGAATACTGGCCTACATGTGCATCCACCCACCATGGCGACTCTATATCCCGGATATTACAACTTGGATTCCGGGATTAAATTGTAAGAATGATATGAAAATAATTGTAATGAAGCAAGTAGCTTTAACACATCTTTATCCCAATTATGAATACTATATTCACGTGTACACCGACGTATCATGTCTGAATCAAACCTCTACGTTGGTATTCTTTGTACCTGGATACCAAGCGAGAAAAGCTTTTAAGCCTATATTCACGTGTACACCGACGTATCATGTCTAAATCAAAGCTCTACGTTGGTATTCTTTGTACCTGCATACCAAGCGAGAAAAGCTTTTAAGCTCAGCCATTTCACAAAATTCACAACGGCAGAACTCTATGCAATACTGTGTGCTTTACGCTTCTTATGTTTACAGCTAGGTCTACATCAATGGGTAGTTATCAGTGAATCACAGTCCTCATTAGTTTTTTTTCAAAGGGATTAGCTTGGGCAACAAAGCTAGTGAGTTCACATATGAAATGCAGAGGACGTACGCTATAGAAAAACATTTAAACTACACCATAATGTTCCTGTCGGTGCCAAGCCACTGTGGAATCACAGGAAATGACATAGCTGATCACATTGCACATGCAGCACATCAAGACAATCATATATCACTGCTACCTCAATCGATGAGCGATGCGCGGTGTCTAATAAATAAGCTGAGCTATCAACT